AAAATTTCTGCAGATTTTGGCTAGGACTCTAAAAACTTCACAATAATAATCTGTACAATTCAACATAATCTACACAATGCCCACATCTGCATTGAGCAGGCAAAGAAAGTCACCAACTGAACCTCCAACGTAAATTGTACTAAACTATAGTAACTCATGGAAGGCCTTTGGTTTAACCCTCCATATCACCATCAATAGGAAAATGAAGAAGAAGAGCAAAAAAAAGAGTCGCAATAGAAAAATAAACAAAGTCGCAACAGAGAAAGGAAATAGAGTTGCAAGAGAAACATAAAGAAGAAGAAGAAACACTCAAAACATAGAATTAGCGACACCAACCTTGCTCAGCCCCTTGAACAGAAGTAGGTTCACTTGGTGAAGGAATGGACAATGCTGCCAGTATGTTAGGATCAATTAATCCCGCATGCTTGAGTTGTGCAATTACATCTGCAATAACTTCTTGTCGCACAGTTTTCTTTTATTCCTCCATTTGTTTCTCCATTTTCTGCATCCTTTCTTGCATTTGCTGCATTCCATCAGTTGTTGCATTTAAAGTTGATTCCGAATTGCCAACTTGTTTTTCAAAGTAGTCTTTGTAACTCCTACTCCATATAGTCTTACAACAGAATCATAAATAAATAGTGTAATCAGAATCTTCATCTACGTAGCTACCCCTGAAATGGATATTAGCATCAAAAGGTAGAGGGAATAAACTCAAACGCATACAAGAAGTAAATTCAGTGAAATTCTCTTAGACTCTAGCATGAAAATTCTTCCTGAAATTTTCAAATCTGATCAGTCCAGCTGTCACGACCCAAAAATGGATGTGATGGCACTCGTCGTATCCCACCAAGACAAGTCAGCCTAAAACCCAATCATTTCGATAAAGTGCGGAAATAAAGCAAAGTTCAATAGCAATTACTATTACGAAAACAAGTCAACTTAATTCAATCCCCAAAACCTGGTTGTCACGTGCACAAGCCTCTAATGTAAATACTAGAATTGAAAGAAAATACGCAAGTCTCAAATGACGTTGTCTTTCAAGTAAAAACAAAATCATAAACAGGAGTAAGAAGGTTCGCTGAGATGACAAACAGCTACCTCTCAGATCTCCACAGAAAACCTCGGAAACGAAGAGAATTGAAGGTATCACGAAGATCCGGGCTCGTAACCTACAAAAGATTGTAGAAGCAAGGGGTGAGTACCAAACCACACGGTACTCAACAAGCAAACCTCTAAACACAAGCTAAGAGTACAGAATACGGGTACTCCTTACACCCCATCCTAACCTCCATAACTACAACCTGCATAAAACCAACCCAACCTAACAATTTACAATTTACAAAGCATACAACTCAACAATAGCACTCTAACAGGTCATATATTCTCAATAACACCTCAATATTCGTCAGTCACAAGTTCCATAGAGAGGCACTCACAAGATCAACAACACACAAGATCAAGTTCATTAATAATAAAAATGTGCAATGCAATGAAATGCAATGTCAATTATAGTGATGCATGTCTGACCTAATGATACACACCCGCTGTCTCTCAGTCCGGGACCCATGGGGGACATATCTGTCCATGCATCCATCGCGGCGCGCGATACGTCCCTCGAAATATAATATTCGTCGCGGCGCGCGACACGTCCCTCGAAATATAGTATCCATCGCGGCGCGCGATACGTCCCTCGAAATGGTACATCCTCCTTAATTTCTTATTCTTTCTCAATGCACATAACACTTGTCACAACCATGTCTCAGAATAATGCAAATGACATGTTCACACAAATAATAAGGAGATGACCATTTTCATAACATTGCACAAATCACAACAACCGAATCATGATACAACTTCAACAATGATTCAACAAGTCTTTCAAACAATTCACAACACATCACACAAACAATTGATCACATTACTCACGAACATATACGACAAGGAAATACACGAATTCCATACGCTTAACAAGGGTTTAGAAATCCACTTGCCTCAATGGATTCACAATTCACTCCGAGACTTGAGCCTTCCCTTTTCGTTGAGTTTCCAAATCAATGTAATCTATTCAAATACATAACCACAATGAGATTTCATAACTAACAACACTCATATTACTAGGTGTCTAGTCTAGACCCAAAAGCTCACTCAAATCTGTAACAAGCTCTTAACATTTTCCAAATTTCAAGGCTAAGGTCAAGTCTTAATTCCTCCGGTTATTATAAATTTAAAGGTATTCAAGTAATATAATACCCCAAATATTTAAGTACCTATCTCAATATATTAAAACTAGAATAATAATGTAACCATAACAAGAAACTTAAAGCACGAAACAAAAGTCCAATTTACCATCAAGTAACCAGACAGTGACGTGAATTTGGGAAAACAAAGTAACCACGCATCTTATACTCCTAAAGACTATCTAATAATTTGTTATTTGTTACCCTTAATCATTATGCCATCACTATTTCCATGATTGTAAGTCAAACTTGTCGCTGTGCAAATTCTCAAGTGAAATTTTTACTATTTCTATACAAATAATATTAAGAAAGTGCACTACCTACTACAGCTATCAACATTTAACCAATCAACCAATCAAAACTATTTAACTTTCTTACTTTTAATCCCATGAAATAGTTCCACCTACGCTGTCTAGGAGAATTTCCAAGTTTCAACTCCAATATCTTTCAGCTATCGCACATAACCACAAAACATATAATTAAGACATGAATTAAGTTATCCCAAGCAAAACAAAGATTCTTACCTAAAGGAAGAGAAATCACTGCTCACGCTTTCTTCTGGTCATTTAGGACTAACGCCGCACGACTATGCGGTTTCCACAAATATTATAAACCTAATTTACTTTTACACATGGACCAAGTAATATAAGACCTTAAATAAATAATTAAAATTCTTCAATTATATAACTATAATTAACTAATAGTCCAAAATACCCCTTATAAAATTTTCGGGAATAGTCAAATAATTCTAGTACTAAAAATGATCTAACGGGTTATTACACCAGCATATTCAGTTTATTGTATAGAAAAAGATGACAAGTATCTTAGACTTTTTTTTACCTTCAATATGTCCTGTGCGTGATTTTTAGGGAAAAAATCAACTACAAATCGAAATTTCTCTCATAAAACTAAAATTCACTCTCTCAAAGACTTTTGCTTGAGAGTTCTCAAATCTCCACCAAGCACGAAATACAAACTATAACCCTAGATTATATGGCAGACCTAGATTAGAACAAATAACATAGATTTAAGACAAACCCATATATTATTCTTTACGATTTTTCAAAAATCATTCAATGGGGACTTAGAAATCATTAACTAGCAGAGAAAACATAAAATTTACTCACCTTTACATCCAAAAATTTGTTGTCGAAAGACCAGTGGAGCTTCAACTGAAGTAAAAGATATCAATGCCCAAGAAATTTGCTGGCGAAAGACCAACGAGCTTCACCAGAGAGATTTCTTCACCAAGAACTTCGCTGTTGTTTTCTTCACCAAGAATTTCGCTGAGATTTTGTAGAACAGAACAACATTTGGGAAAAAGCGTGCTTTAATTTGGTTGAGAAAGGGTTTTATGGGAAAGGCCTTTTTTCTTTTAGATTTTTTTAATGACATAAAAAAAATTGGCGCTTTGCAAAATTAGTGGAGGGAAATATATATTTTTGGGGAGGGAAATATATTTTAGGGATAAAAATCGGAACCACAATATTTCTCCTAAAATAATCGTTGCCATAGAGTCATCTATTGCAACGATTCTAAAATCTGTAGCCATAGAAACTCTATAGGGACGGTTATAGGGATGATGCCACGGTTCATTTTAAGAATTGTTCTATTAAATCCAATGATATATTGCAACAGTTATAACCGTTGTAATAGGCAATCTATTGCTACGATTGTGTAACCGTTGATACATAAGCGTTGCAGTAAGTCAAATTTCTAGTAGTGAATTACCAACAAACTAACAATCAATTAGTAAATTTATTAGAAAAACAAATAATCATACTAACGTATTTAAAATTTATTACCAATAAGGGTTGTGGTAGAGTGGTAAGTACTCCTTCATCCTTAACCAAGAGGTCTCAGGTTCGATTCCCCTTGGATACGGAGTTGCCTTGAATGATATATTACCAACAAACTAACAATCAATTAGTAAATTTATTAGAAAAATAAATAATCATACTAACGTATTTAAAATTTATTACCAACAAGGGTTGTGGTGGAGTGGTAACTGGTAAGTACTGCATCATCCTTAACCAAGAGGTCTCATGTTCGATTCCCCTTGGTACATAGCCGCCTTTGTTAGGGAGCGCTTTACTCCCCAATGTGGGACTTTCCAACGTGAATTCGGATTTAATCGGGCTCCGGTGTGGGTACCGAACACCAGATGGGAAACCAAAAAAATATATATTTAAAATTTATTGGTAAATTACCAACAAAAATTTACTTTAATTACCAACGTATTACCAACGGAATCAAATAATGAAAAAAAAATTTTACTAACTCCTTTTCAATTCGTTAGTAAAGGTACTAACGATATACTAACCAAAAATTAGTTGGTGAATTTACCAACGGAAATTTTAGGGCCATGTTTCAAAATTTTGTAACAACATCTTTGGGTGTTTACCAACTGATTTTTGGTTGGTAAGTTTACCAACAAATTAAAATCGGTTGGTAATATTTACCGACGAGCCTTTTAGCAATGGATTAATATAAGTTGACATTTGGTTGGTAACTCAATTTGCCAACCAATTTGATAAATTTACGAGAAAAAAATTTGTTGGTAATTGAGGTTCCTTTTGTAGTGAAAAAAAAAACACTCAAAATGAGATAAACAACTAGTGCTTCACATATATCATTGTGATTTCCAACGATCTATATATACAATTTTGATTGTTGTTTTACAATCCTAAAAATGATGTATATTGCTATAATTATACAAGAAGGGGAAAAATACAAATTACAAAAAAAAAAAAAAAAAAAAACTCTATTCTATTGTCTTGTCAAAAGATAAAATTTGTATACATGGAGAATTACTCCAAATATGTGAATGTGCTCTTAATATCTCTCTTGCTTTTTTCTTCAAATGAATTTCACAATTTGCTTGCATTACCATACAAATTTTTGACACTCCCCCTACTCTCAACATCTCCAATAAAACTTCTTTTGTGGCTGAAAATTTACAAATTAAACCAAATATTTGTATTGCATTATCATCTATAGTTGCACTAATTCTCAATGTCCTCTTTGTTACCAATGCAATTCCAGCTGCATGTTCCAGAAATTTTGCCCTCCCATCAGCCAAAACACACAAATTAGCCAATAGACAAAACCCTAATTCACTAACCCTTTTCTCAGGGTTAGTTAATTCGAGCTCGATGAGCTCGAATATGGCTCCTGATTCGATGATCTTAAGCTTGTTGCGCCCCCACGTACATACGCCTATTAGCACTTGTAGGGCTGCTTTGGTTGCTTGCTGGGAGATGTAAGTCCTGTTGTTTTTTCGTAATGTGTGCACTATTTCCTGAAAGAATTCTGAGTCTAATCCTGATAGAAGATTTGAACTAGAGACCTCTATCACGTCCTTCAAGACCATCATTGCATGTGTCTTGATGACATTATCGTGACAGTTGTTTTTCGTTTCGTTTTTCAAAATCCATAAAATAGCTTTGACTAAATCATGATTATCCTTCACATGATTCTTGTGATCTTCATGTGATGGATTCCAAATTGAATGAAAAATCCTTAAAGCTTCTTCAAGTCCAGGAATTAATAATTTCCTAATTTTGTAACTTCTCACAATAAAACCAATAATAGCCTTAATTGCACCAACTTCCTCCATGCACTTTATATTTTTCTCATTTTCACTAACTAAATCATCCATTTTCCTCAAAGCATTAACACAAAGTTGTTGATCATTATTACTATTATTATTACTATTATTTACCTGGCGAATTAATCGAAGTACATTCGATTTATCCATCGGATACTTTGGCGTTGGGATTAGGTCAACGCCATTTTCCGCGTTGACTATGCACCATGCTTGAATTAATCGTCGGAGCATATGATTTGGAGTCAACAACTCGATGTCTTTAGGCAAATATTGCTTTGTCACCGGGCACGTGGTGGTCACCACCTCTTCCTCTGCCGTGTACAACCACATTTCGATACTTTCTCGATCATACGTGATCCCGGTGACCGTTGTTACCGGATCTTTCATAATTTGTAATGATATAGGGCATAAAAAATATTGTGGTATATCTAGTTCTTCCATATAACTTTTTTTTTTCTTTAGCTACAAATATAAAATCAAGAACCTAATTCTATATATATAATGAAAAGAGAGAAATAAGATATGTTCAATGATTTTTTCCCCCAATTTTTTGGTATGATAAAGGGGCTAATATAATGTATGGAAGTTTGAATGAGAAGGAAGAATGAAGACTAAGAAAATTCTAGATGATATTTAGTTATTTTTTTATTAAAAAAAAAAACTATAGGATTATTGTTGGAAGTATTTTTTTTTATTTTTGAATTTGGTTTTAGTGGTCAAAGGTTGAATAGGACTGAGGAGGTGGTGGCTAATCAAATCCCCACGATAAAGATTAAATAATTTGAAAATAGATATGAAAATCTCACATTTTTGTTGACTTTTAAATATTTGCCACGTGGAAGATAAATCATAGTCGACATGAAAAAAAAAACATCAAAGTCAAAGGTAATTAATGGAGTGTTTGATTTATTTTTGGAATGTTTTTTTCTGAAATTGGAATGATAAATTGAATTTGCTTAGCATTTGATATATACCAAGTGCATTGTATGATTGTTTAATTTGAATTAACTTTAATTAGATTATTTATTTTGTTATCCACCTGGGCTGATTTTCGTATTAGATTGGTTAATTCAAATTCAAACTGAAAGGATTAGTGATGGATTCAGTACCCCTTATTCAAGATTTTTTTGATATTTTTGTGACTCTATTACTATTAAATTTAGATTCACATTGAAAGTGAAAGTGCTAACTACAATTTCAGAGCTTTTTTGTGACTTCATCACTTTTAAATGTAGATTCACTTTAGAGATGAAGTGAAGTGCACTATAGAAAATAATTATATTCTTGGGACTCAAATTGAACCCAAGACCCTGGTTAAAAAGAAAAGATACTTATCACATGATCATGATAATATTTGATGACCATTTTAGTAAGAAATAAATTCAAAATTTAAAAATTTATATAGAGACCTCAAATTAATATTATAATAATAACAACTAAATTTATAATTAAATATTTATAAATAAAATATCTTAATAAATGTATATATTAAATTCATATAAATTCATAATCAACTTTAATTTCCATATTCATGCACTTTTACCCCACCCCCACTTTGCTTTACATGTATAAATCGTTTCATCATGTGAATAATATAAATTTAAATTAGAAGTTTGGTATATATGAATGAAAATCAAAAAGTAATTAATTTCGGCTTGACCCAACGTTGCTTTGTTTTTATTCGAATATATGTTTTTCTACTTGTTTATTTTTTTCTTCATTAAAGATGGAACATGTTTTTCACCATTTTGTGACGTTACTAGTCTATTTTGTAAATATAAAATAAACGACATTGAAAATTATCTCTTTTTATCTTAACAAAATAGAAAAAAAAATTGGAAAATTTTTTTTTTATTGCAATTCAATTTTAAAATATAATATACGATTAAGTGACGTTTTGTTAAAAAAAATTGAAAATTTATTTGACCTATCACTAATTAATACAAATGAGTTTTGCTCTAATGGCTATGGATCGAAGCGAGCGAATTGATTTGTGAGGATATAGCTTGGTGTGCGAGTATGCTAATCATTTTCAATTCTAAAGGAATAATCTTAACCACATATAAAAACAATGAAAGAAATTTCACTTTAGGATAAAACACTTAATCATTCACCTCCATAATTTCTTCTTTCCTTTTATATAACCTTATCTATCGTGACGAAATCATAAATTTCATTAAGAATGTTTAAGATTTAATATATATATATATATAAATAATTTTTAACTTCTATATATTTTTCAACTTTTATATAAATAATATAATTTTTCAATAAAATGAAGTACCTATCTTATCTGTAAATCAAATATAAATTTAGTGTTTTAAGTTATCTAGACAATTTCAGTCAAACAAATCAAGCTTCCATTTTTGACTTAAAATGTTTGATTTTCAATGTCCTATTGATTGATCTTTTATTATTTTTGTTTTTTTATATGAACTATTCAAGATGAAAAACAGATCATATATTCTGTTTGGTGCATTCCATCCTATATTACAACTAGCATTTATTGAAAGTCAACTTAAAACATACCTATAAATTATAATTGTAGAAAAAATGAACCAATCAAAAATTGTTATACTTATATATATATATATATAACATAAAATTAAAAAAAAACTCATTTGATATTTGGTTTGAGATCCAATTTATTTAAATTTGTACTAAAAAGTCTTACGTGAAAGTAAAACACCATCTACTATTTACAATGCTATTTGCAGGGTACCTGTTCGACCACTTTAATGTAGGGTTCATCGATTAATCTGAAATCATATCAAAAAAATTTCGTTTGGAGGGCAAAGCGCTATATATCAAACACGAATCTATTTTCAGCCATTCAGGAATTTACTTTAGGAACCAACTAATCTTAAATTTCGCTAAAAAGATCTAATTTAAAGGATAAAATACTCTCTAAGAAAGTTAACTTGGGTCCATTTTTAAGAGTACTTATTTTGACATCTAATTATTTCAGATTCACAATAAGAAATTCATAATATTATAAACTCAGTTTTTATAATTTTTAATATCAAAGTGAGATCATCATAAAATTATTTATGTATGACACAAACGTGGGGAATTGAACAGATTTATTGATATAAAATAATTTAGCTTAATAATATTTATCTAAAAACAAACATGTAAACTGGTTATTTTTAAAATAATAATTAATATTGGCAAAATGTCCCTACAAAGAATATTTTAAATTTTCAAAATTAAAAAGTATGATTGTCCATATGTGAAATAAAAGATTTGTTAATCATGGTAGATTTGTATAGTGCACCTTTTTTTTTGTCCCAATATTTATACTTTTGGTGTTTGAATTGTGGAAAATATTTCAATCAGTATGATTTTTCAACAGTGAATTTTGAAAGTACAAATTCCAATGATCTGGCATGCATCAAAGCAAAGAACACATGTTTGAAAAAAACAATCCACTTTTATGTCCTAATTAAATCTAGAACGTATAAATTTAAAATCCTGAATTTATAATTATCGTAATATATTATTTGGATTAAACATAAAAGGTGTTTATTTAGTATAATTTTTTAATCGTTGCAATAGATTGTTCGAACTTAACACAGTAGGGTAGCCGGCAGAGTTATTAATTATAAGGGGAAAAAAGTAGGATATAAATGATTTAAAACAAAAATGACATAATCACATCAAATTAATCCTTACATAAAATTACATAACTACTATTTGAACAATACGATATTACAAAATTAACTAACAGTCAAAATAATTTAAAGAAATGACACAATACAACCACACTCTTAAATACTTCGGTATGTCTAATTATAATTATTGAGGATACATTTTTCCACAATAAAAATTAATTCAAAGAGAGTAAAATACTCATAAAGATAAGAGATAAAATTTATATATATATATATATATATCTTTTTCTAGACTCTCCATATAATACTATGCTAAATTTATTGTCGTTGTTATAAAGTAAAATACACTCTCATACACACAAACATTTAGGATATTAACACCAAACGGATTAAAATTTTACATATAATATTTGAATATAATCCAGAAGAACAGAAAAAAATTGCTCGAACGGTAAACATCTATTCTTTCGTTTTAAATTCCGGTCTTCACCGTCCAAATAAGACTTCTAGCACCAATCATGACCGTTACCATACCTTTTTTAAAAATAATAAAATAAGATAAACCAACTTTTCTTTTCTTTTTAAAAAGGACTATAGTTTAGTTTTTTTTTTTTTTAGGTTAGATCAATTTAATACTTGGAGACTAAACTACGACATGTTGGTATATAATATATGGTTGATGGAGTATAGTCCCAATCACTTGAAAAATAGTGTATAGAAACTATCTAGAAGGATTTTAAAGTTGATCTAAATAGTTTAAACTGTCATTATTTGCGATGATTTGACTAAGCATATAAGTTGATCAAAATAATTTATAAGTAACTTTGATATATTTGTGTAAAAATGAAGCTAATAATTGACATGGTTTAAGCCAAGTTCGATGATTATTAAGGGTCGTAATTAAGACTAGTTAGTAAAAATTTATTCACACTCAAATTTTGCACTAAATAAGTATTAGGAAAACTTACATAAATCTCATTAGTTCAGGAGTCAATTACTTAGATATACTTTAGTTCACAATATTATGCATCTTACTAGATTTTGGTGCCTCCAGATACGTTCAGATACATGCATCTCAAAAGAATGGAGTCAAAATTAAGTGTAATTTGTTCTGAATACATTGTACAATCAGATTCCATATATCTGAAATACATAACAAATCTCGCTTGTCGCCCTCACATCTCTCCCATCTCGCTCGCCATTCTCCCATGTATCTGGTATCTCAGATACATGCGAATCACATGTATCTAAGTGTATTTTCTTTAATATATGATACAAAACTCTTAATCCGTGGTAAGATACATAATATTTTAAAAGTGCATGTAATAACATTATATATGATAGTGAAGTATGTCTAATTATATAATTTTTCCAATATGCATTAATTAACATGTGTTTGCACATCTATTTTAACACTTAATCATGATTAGTGAGCTTTGAATATGAGCATATGGAAGCCAGAAACAACTTAATCCAAATTTGGCATAACATATATTCATCCCAGTCCAACAGGGTTGAATGATGTTAAGTTATGTTGTTCAGACTCCTCGAAAATGTCACCGCGCCCATGTTCATGAATCCTGAAAAAATGCATTACTTTAAAAGATCCGACACATATTTAGCGATAATTTGTCTCAATTTTTTTGTTACTGAACAAGAAGGAAGGTGTTCCCTTCATAACAAAACAACCCTTATTTATTGTTCTTACAACTAATAACAGTTGCATCCGAGACAGGTTGTGCACATCTCGACTAATTGTCATTTCTGCACATATTTTGCATCCGTTATACGCTCCATGTAGCTCTGTATAGTAAGGCTTGGACTGATGGAACAAATTAATCATCTGGTA